AGGTGCTTCTCAACTGAGTGGTGTGAGACTTAAAGCTGTAAAAAGCAGCAGTGAAGAAGTTTTAACAGGCGTTAACAACAACTGTGTGTGTTTGTGTTACCGTAAGGCTTTCTGCAGCCGCTGCATGCAGTCTGGAGCCAGAGGATAGTGTTTCTTGGCTTGCAGAAACTTCTGGACATGAGGCAGCAGGATGTTACTGGGAGGAAACAAACCAGTGCAGAGCCACAGCAGCTCCCAGCCCTTCTCCTCACTGTACCTGCACACAAACACCATGACAAGGTAAACAGTGCACAAACTGAGGGTCAGGATTTTGGCTTTGTGGCACAGGAAAGAAAGTGTCCTTTAGTGAGAAACATCTAGAAGTCAGAAATTTTCTATGCATGCTCATATTCCATCATGCTTATATCATTATTTTCTTGCTGCTACCAGGCATATTTATAAGTGTGCAGGGATTTTGTTTCTGGTGACGGTACAGCAGGCGAAAATGTTAAACACCAGTCTCTGTGTGGACAATGAATACAGTTTTGTTTGCTTGTGTGAATTTAATGAATTTCAAGTGGCAAAAAAGACTCTAAGGGTGCTGCAGAGACTGTGAAAGAACCGCTGGGGTTACCAGGAAGGTGCATGTTACAGATGTAAGAGATGCTTTGAGAGTGATCAAAGTGAACACTCAGCTTAAACTGTGAACACTGAGCTAAAATATTGATTATAGAAGAAGAGATAGAAGAAAAGACTGTTTTTTTCTTGGACTTACTTAATGTGATTGTCTGTTAGCTGTTTGAGAATCTGGCAGAAGATTTCGTCTTTGAGCGGCTCGGCCTTCAGGGCTCCTTCGAATATCTGATCGGTGAGCTCGTTGACAGAACGCACTCGTTTGGACGGGTAGTCGCCCATATACTTCATCACAGGTGCAAACACAGTTAAGGACCATTCACATAACGACAGGCTGGTACAGGTCAGGCAGTATGGCTGACTGGAAATAACCAAGCAGCAAACTTCCTCTGATGGCCACTTGGCTGGCTCCAAAAAACAGAGTTCATCTCTATAAACTCTCATGTTAAAATTACTAACCTACCAGCATTAAAAAGCATGTTTTCTTTGTATAGAGCAGATTAAATATTACAGTTTCAATCGCTACAAAAACAGCTAAACCTTTGCTAGCGATGGAGTAGTCAAGACCAGCTTATGATTCCCATCAAAATCACAAACAACAGTGAGTAACTTTCATGGGGGGTTTGGTCGACAGGCGTAACTGCAGGCTTGGATGCCTGTAACATCCATTCTTACCAGTAGCAGTTTATAAAGAAACAAAATTAATATTTATCAGAACTGAACTGAGCCCTTCACAACACCTCCACTTTCTCATATGGTCCCTTGGGAAAGTTAATTACCTGCTCTGATGTAACAAAAGCACCAGAGGAAAAACGCAAACGAGAAAGCCAAACATATGATCAATCACGCCCTCTCCTAAAGGATATCTATGAAGGCAAGGCAGGCCTCCTGGGAGAGCTCGTCGTGAGCCAGGACTTTCTTCAATAGAGGCTGTTTGAGAGGCTCGCGGGTGCAGCTCCACAGACGCTCCTTCCCTCGAGCTTTCGAGATCACCACCCTGCTCAGAGTACTCTTTGGAGGAGGCCTGAAGAACAGTGGTTCGAAGAAACTTTCACACATATTTTTTAACATCATTTGTACTTAAAACAGCCTCACATTAGACTTAGTTACCTGAAGTAGTCGTAGGAAAACTCCTCCAGAGTGTAGGCCTTAGATTTATCCTCTTGGTCCGAAAGGTTAATCTGGGACAAACCGATAGACTCGCGCCTCTGATCAGGAGTCATGGTGACGAGAGCCTGAGAGACAGTAAAACAGGAGGAAGATTGGATTTTTTTTCACATTTGACCCTTCCAACTGGTTAATTCAGCAAAGTACATCAACATATTTCAGAGCATTTACTAGGAAGAAAAAATGCTTTTGGCAAGTTAATTTTCCTTTTAATGAGCAGCCAATACCTGGAGTTCAACAACCACATCTCTGTCAAAACCTTCCTTTCAGAATCCATGAGTTTTTTGCTTTTAGTGTGTGGTTAAAGCACTTTTTTCTGTTACAGTATACCAAGCAGAAAACTAGTGATGTGCTTTTGATGATAATACAATGTGCAAATTCAATATTTCTGTAATATTTTAGTGTTTGACACTTTGTAGACAGCCATTAAACACACAGCTGGCTGCACAGAGAGACTAGCATATATTTATTTTTGTGTTTTTTGTTAATTGGGAGAAAAACTGCTAAAAAAAAAAAGGTGGACAGCTAATAGCTAACAATTGGAGAGACAGCAGCTGCTCACATGGTGCTTTAATCAGATTGTTTTCAGACGTGTTGAAAATATATGTGCAGTGAGGATTTTTTGTGTGTACATTTTAATTAGTAGATGACTGGCAGTTTGGTTGACACTAATTTAAAAAAAATAGCAAAGCTGGAGTGTTGACAGGTCAGATCAGCATTTACACAGTTTAAACGTCATGGTCATTTTTATTTTAAAGGATTTGTTTGACAGCACTCATTGCATTGGCCAATACTTGCAATAGGAAACTTCAAGTAACTCTGAAACTCTAAGAGAATTTCAGGTTTACACAAGTTGGGAAGGCCTCTTGGAGCCATTCCTGAACAACTGCAGTTTCCAAAACCATCAGTTCACATAATTGTATGTAGGTACAAGTAGGGCTGGGCTATATAATACCGTTCACAGTAATACCAGTATCATGTTGGGCAACGATAAGAAAATAAAATATTGCAATAGAATATGGGTAAAACGCGCATGTGCAGTGCCTTTGTTTTCATACGCACATGCTGGAAAAAGCATGGCGGCAACGGAGAATAAGAAGGGCGAAAGCAGATTGTTGAATGAAACGGATGAACCAGAATTGGTTTGTAAAAATGCTGCAACTTCACAACAAAGCACTATTTTTGGTAGAGCATGCAAGCGGGCCGTCGTTATTACCGTGTTGTTTGGAAAATACGGCACACTTAAAATAAATCCTTTGATTTTTCTGAAAGTCGACAGTGCCCCTTATAATCCCGTGTGCCTTATGTATGA